TGAGGTTGCTGTGAGCTAGGCTGACGCCACGGCACTCACTCTAGCCAGGGCAACAGAGTGAGACTCTGTCTCAAAAAAAAAAAAAAAATGTTCATACCCCATAACTTTTGACACAGTGAACCCATTTAGGGAGTGTATCCTAAAGAGATAATAAAATATTTGGTCAGATATTTCTATAAAAAGCCATTCAGCATAGTTTAGGAACAACCCCAATGTTTTAGATTAGGATATTGGTTATATAAATTATGGTCTGACATCATAAAATAAAAATTTTGTGCAGTGATATTTATTAATGGAGAAATAATCACAATATAATATTATGTGAAAAGGGCAGGCCACAATATGGAATGGGGCCAGATAAGGAAATACTCCCATACTCGTGCGCACATGCATACATAGAGAAAAAAGATAGGCACGAAATAAACCAGTAGTTTAATACAACTTGGTGATAGGATTATAGGTAATTTTTATTTCTTCATTTTTCCTTCTGTAAGATTTCAAAAATAGTTATGTAATTTTATTATCAGAACAGACATTATTTTAAATGACTATCAGAAATAGAAAAATGTCACTTATTTTCAAGGTGATTCCTGTTTATTACCTGCAATTTCATATGCATTGGAGCACAGGACTTCATATCAAAATTCAGCTTGTTTGTACCATCCATAGCAGACTTAACTACACTGGGTAGTTTGAGGCACAAATGACCACCACAAAGTGATAGAGTCTAGCTTTAGGTGTGAACCCTAGAGATACTGTAATTTGGTCCCTGACAGGCCCCTGGAAGCAGGCCCACTTGGCAGGTACTGTTAGGTACTTTTAAGCATACGATAGAGAGCCTGAACTGCATGGGCGAAAGAGAATAATGAAAAGGAGCATTCAGACTGGGTAGCCCGGCTAACCTCATCAGTTCTCTCCTCTGCCCACAGACGCTTGCCTCTGACAGCCAAATGCAATGTAAGATTTTGCCCTAAAGTGGTTTGCAGGATGTAATGAATACTTGTGAATTGAACTATATAAATCTGTTTCTAAATACTAGGTAAAATTTGGGGAAAATGCCTCTTCCTAACCATGTTATCTCAAGAGAAAAAAATGTTGGCAGGTTATTAGACTGTCCAGCAGAGGTCAGTGTAAATGTGTAAAGACCAGATTAGTCCAGGAATACTTTAATTGACAGAGTCCACTGACTGCTTCTTTTGTAAAAATGATCTTGAAATTAGTCTTCTCATAGGGATTTTTCCTTAGAAGGATAAGATATTAAGTAAATTTAAACTGAATCTATTGGTTGATAGTTAAAACTTACTTTGATAAAACATTTTGCATCCCCTAGTTTAAAATAATAAACACTCTTACGTGATCCTAGGACAGATAATTCCCAAATACCTCATGAAAACTGAACTTTGAAAGATTATGTTAGCTTTCTTAATTTAGGAAAACTCATAATCCAGGGTTGAGATCAGTGGGAAATGATTTCTTAGGTTAGTTCCTCTACTAATGTTCTTTCCAAAGTATTTCATACTTCATGGGGTTATTTGGGGATTCAAAAAGCTATGCAGAAGCTCAGCCCAGTGCCTGGCATATAAAAGGCCCTCAGTTAAGTGCCACTGTGTTTTATGAAGGTGAGACTTTAGAGACGGAGAACACTGACTGGAATCCCCGCCTAGCATTGAATGTAGAAGTAAACAGTAGTTTCCCTTTTCTCAAGTAAGTGGCTCTTACTTCTCCAAGTAAATTAGACATTTCCTAGAAAAGAGGGGCCATGTATTTTTTTTTTTACTTCGTTATACAGCCACAGCGCTCTGCAGGGGTTCACTAAATGCTAGTTGAATGAGCACTCACCATGGTTAAAAACAGCTCAGTGGACATTTTCTATGGTTATTTCATACATTTGAAATAGCTCAGCTTACTATGTGAAATGAGTATAAATTTTCCTTAGGGAAAAAAGTCTTAAATCTGTTATAAGAAAGTAATAAGACTTTAAACGCCAAAGGAGAAAGAAAATGAAAATAATGTTGAATCCAAAAATATTTGTGTTCCTTTATTATTTTCAAGACACTTAGGTAGGCAGTGGGTAAGCAGTGCATTCCAACAAAGGAGTGGCCAGTGACTCTGAAATAAATGTACACATAGAGTGACTACAGTAGAATATCATATGCATGTATTAAAAAGTTGGAAACTCAGGGCAGGCGTGGTAGCTCACGCCTGTAATCCTAGCACTCTGAGAGACCAAGGCAGGAGGATTGCTTGAGGTCAGGAATTTGAGACCAGCCTGAGCAAGAGTGAGACCCCGTCTCTACTAAAAATAGAAACAAATTAGCTGGACAACTAAAAATATACAGAAAAAATCAGCCGGGCATGGTGGCGCATGCCTGTAGTCCCAGCTACTCGGGAGGCTGAGGCAGAAGGATCACTTGAGCCCAGGAGTTTGAGGTTGCTGTGAGCTAGGCTGACACCACAGCACTCACTCTAGCCCGGGCAACACAGTGAGACTCTGTCTCAAGAAAAAAAAAAAAAAAGTTGGAAACTAGTTAAATTACAGATGGGAATTATGGCTGAGAAACCCTGATAAAACTGCCTGCTGACTACAGAGAGTGAAATGTATACAGGTGAAGTTTGAATTATCTAGTATTTTCTGGTTGCATTTGCTGCTGCTAATCTGAATAAATGAAGTAACACAGAAGAAGAAATTGACTATCCTATAAATTCTCCCTTAGAAGAAAATTCTACCCTTAGAAGAGGTAGAGATAAAAGCACACCTTGGATTCAGGTCTGACAGGGAGGACTGCCTACACCTCTGGTTTTCACTGGACTATCTTGCATCTTCCCTCTCCTCCAAAGCCTTCCCTTTCAGAAGAGGAGCTAGTTGGCCAGTGAACCCATGGCAAATCCAGGTTGTATGGTCACCCCTGCAATTAGGGAGCAAAGAAAGGCATGCACACAAACTCCTGGATCTCTTTAAATTTTGACTCAGGACCTAGAAATACCTGCAGAGGTGACAAGATCCATGATTTCTTTTCCAGT